GTGAGGTGACGGGGCGAATGTGGTGTGACGGGGCCCAATGTGGTGTGATGTAGCGAATGTCAACAGGGCGAGTGTTGTGTGCCCTTCGATTGAATTTGACAGGTCAGTTCGACTCAGGTTTTTTCCCACGTGCACCAGCACACTAGTTACTTTGTTTTTATTGGGCAGACAAGGTTTTTAAAAATTTCTGATGCATCAAGGGGGTTCAAAATCTAGCGAGTACCCTGATTACCGTACTAGACCCCCCCCGAGCCTAGATACTAGTTCACTTGGGGTTCTCTTTGTTCATTTTCGTGCCCACACTAACCCTGTGTCCATTAAACCCACACAGGGGTGATTGTTCAAGATCCACCGTGCAGCCCATGCTCGCGAGTAGTGCATGTTCTAGACTGCCAAGGTTGGATTGCACGATGACAAGGTAAGGAATCTTGCGTCGCAACGCTGGATCGCCCTAAATGTGCCATTTCGACTAATGAGAAGCCACACCCGGATTGAATCGCGAAATACGCACATCCGCGGTCCTATCCATGAAAAAAAAAAATGTTGAAGCATCCACAGCACCTAAGCAATCAAATACACTTTCAAAAAATATGTCCATATGATAAGACCCGGGTACTATACATTTTTAAGCTTATGACAATACCCCCCCTCTTTTAAGCTTATGACAATACCCTAGGGTCTTATACCATGGTAGATCACAGTACAAGCAAGGTCAAGCAGTGAGCAAGTGAGAAAACGTAGGCACAAGGCCTAAAGCAGTACAGAGACGCTGATGATCACCAGGCGAAAGTGCCTTGGTGAATATATCAGCAGTGTTGGCCCGAGTGGCCACGTAAGCAAGACGAAGCTGACCACGCTGCTGCAACTCTCGAGCAAGGAAGTAACGCAGAGCGATGTGTAGGCTGTAGTGGGGTAGCCAATATGGGGTACAACCCCTCTAGGGTTTGATACTTGTACCCAACTCTCATTTCAATGCACCATTCTCGCCTGCTAGTTTCAACATGGTATCAGAGCGGTAGGTCCGTTAGGACCAGATTTTTTTCCTGGGCCCATCGAACGCCTGCCTGCCTGCGGTTACCGTGCTGGCCCACACGCGCCCTGCCTTGCCTGCCTGTCGCGCCGCCCCTAAGACCCGCGCCTGCCTTGCCTGCCCGTCGCGTCGCCCTAAGCCCGCGCCCGGCCCCCTGCCTGCCCGTCGCGTTGCCCCAAGCCCGCGCCTGGCCCCTTGCCTGCCCGTCGCGTTGCCCCAAGCCCGCGCCCGGCCCCCTGCCTGCCCGTCGCGTCGCACTAAGCCCGCGCCCGGCCCCGTGCCTGCCCGTCGCGTTGCCCCAAGCCCGCGCCTGGCCCCCTGCCTGCCCGTCGCGTTGCCCCTAGCCCGCGCCCGGCCCCGCCCGCCTGCCCGTCGCGTAGCCCTAAAGCCCGCGCCCGGCCACCTGCCTGCTCGTCGCGTCGCCCTAAAGCCCGCGCCCGGCCGCCTGCCTGCCCGTCGCGTCACCCTACACCCGCGCCCGGTCACCTGCCTGCCCGTCGGGTCGCCCATAACTACGCCCGCGCCAGGCCCCTGCCTTCCCGCCGTGTCGCCCTAAGCCCACGCCCGGCTCCCCCCTGCCTGCCTGCCGCGTCGCCCTACACCCGCGCCCTGCCCCCTACCTGCCTGCCGCATCGCCCTATACCCGCGCCCGACCCCTTGCCTGCCTGCCTCGTCGCCCTACACCCGCGCCCTAGCCCGCACCCGGCCCCTGCCTGCCTGCTGCCTCGGCTTCCCTTCGCTGTGCCGATGACGACTCCTCACGTCCTAGAATTTGAGCCTGATGGCCGCCCGATCGAGTTCGCTACCTGGCTAGAGGACTTACAGCTTTTCCTACTGACTGATTCCAAAGACGGCGTCTCCTTGTTTGACTTTGCCTCTGGCGCCTCTGCCGCCCCTGCTGATACCGCTGACGCACTCGCTCGCTCTAGCTGGCAGAGCCGTGACGCTGTAGCCCGCCTAGCGATTCGCAACCACCTGCCGATCCCCGAGCGCGCCCACTTTAGCCAGCACAAGACCGCTAAGGCGCTGTACGACGCAGTAGTTGCGCGCTATTCTTCTCCCGCCACAGCAGCCCTCGGCCGTCTTATGCTGCCCTACCTGTTCCCTGATCTGTCCTCGTTTTCTACTGTTGAGGATCTGATCTCTCACCTGCGTGCTAGTGACCTTCGCTTCCGTGCTGCACTCTCAGACGAGTTTCTCGCGCAGAACCACCCCCCGATGTACTTCACCCTTTACTTCCTCGTCACCCGCCTCCCTGACTCCCTTCGCTCGGTCAGGGACCACTTCCTTGCACTCGACCCCTCTACCCTCACCATCGACGACTTCGAGAAGCAACTTCTGGCAGCGGAGAAGAGCATTGTCGCTGTCAGTGCTGCTCGAGGCACTCCCCGCACCCCCATCTTTAAGGGGTGCTCCCCCTCCCCCCCCTCGCCTCCTCTCATGCCTCTGTTGCTGCTGCAGTCGACTTCCTGCGTGCTGAGGAGGTCGGGGCGGCTTCCGCTCCTAGTGGGAAGCGCCGCAGCGCCAGGGCAAGGGTGGTCGAGGTGGTGGAGGTGGTGGCGGAGGAGGAGGTGGGGGCGGTGGTGGGGGTGGAGGCGGTGGGGGGAGTGGCGGCGGTGGAGGTAGCAGTGGAGGTGGCAGCGGCGGCAGTGGGGAGGAGGGAGCAGTGGTGGCGGCGGTGGTGGGGGCTGGAGTTCCGGTGGTGGCCAGGGGCAGCAGCAGCAGCAGCCGCAGCAGCAGCAACAGCAGCAGCAGCAGCAGCAGCAGCAGCGTCAGCGCGAGACCCCCACGCCCCAGCAGCTTCATGACTGGTACGCTCAGCGTGGGGCGTCTGGGGGTCCTGTTCGCTGCCCCTATGTCATTCGCACTGGTCCCCGCACTGGTCGCACATGCAACGGCTTTCACACTGAGTACCGCTGCTTCTCCCGTCTTAGCGACGCCTGGCGCGCCAGGTTCCCTGATGCGTCTGAACTGCCCAAGTGGGCAGACCTGATGAGGCGTGAGGTTCCTATCTTTGATCTGGACTATGATAAGATTCTTGCTGCCATGTATGCATTGACTGTTAGTGCTGAGGGTGACTGCTACTTGTGCTTCTCCCCTGACCCCGGTATAGAGGTTGCTGCTCTAGGTGCTAGTGAGTCTGCCCCCCCTGGTACTGAGTCGGCACAGGCCTTGCACACTTTTACACTTGACTCTGGTGCTTCTCGCTGTTTCTTTCGCGACAGTACCACTGTCACTCCCCTTCCTGCGCCTGTCCCTGTCTCACTGGCTGACCCCTCTGGGGGCCCAGTGCTTGCTCGTTCCTCCACTGTGCTCCCGTGTCCGGCGGTCCCGTCCGGTGAGCTGTCTGGTCTCCACATCCCCTCGTTCTCTACGAACCTGGTGAGCAACGCCGTCCTTCAGGATCACTGGGTTGACACCTGGACTCCTGGAGGACAGCATGTGGCGATCTGCACATGCTCCAGGACTGGCCGCCACCTGGCCACGTTCACTCGTGAGCCCGGGTCCAGTCTCTACACCTTCACCACTGTTTCACGCTACACCCCTTTGTCTCCACAGCTGTACGCGTCCGCTCAGGTAGCTACCCAGTGTGAGTGTCGCCGCCTGTCGCACGACACTCTCCTGTGGCACCACCACCTTGGTCACCCCTCCCTGCCCCGCCTTCGTAGCATGCACTCTCGCCTACTTGACTCTGGTCTTCCCAGGTAGAGGCCTGCCCTCCCTCCCTCGCCTGCGCCGCCCTGCATTCCTTGCGTCGAGGGACGGCAGCGCGCCGCTCCTCACTCCTCCTCGTTTCCTCCCACAGAGGCTCCACTGCAGACGCTCCACCTGGACGTGTGGGGCCCAGCCCACGTCCAGGGGCAGGGCCGCGAGCAGTACTTCCTGCTGGTTGTCGACGACTACACGCGTTACACCACGATCTTCCCCTTGCGCAGCAAGGGGGACGTCCCTGCTGTTTTGATCCCCTGGATCCGCGCTGTTCGTCTCCAGCTCCACGAGCGGTTCCAGTCGGACTTTCCCGTCCTGCGTCTGCACTCTGACAGAGGTGGTGAGTTCACCTCCGACCTCTTGCGAGCCTTCTGTGAGGAGCACAGCATCACCCAGTCGTTCACGCTTCTGGCCTCTCCGCAGAGAAATGGGGTTGCTGAGCGCCGCATTGGCTTAGTCATGGAGGTCGCTTGTACCTCCATGATCCATGCGGTTGCCCCCCATATTCTGTGGCCGTTTGCGGTCCGGTACGCCGCGCGTCAGCTCAACCTCTGGCCCCGTGTCTCCTTGCCGGAGACCTCGCCCACACTGCTGTGGACGGGGAAGGTTGGCGATGCGTCGCGTTTCCGGGTCTAGGGTGCTCGTGCCTTTGTCCGCGATACCACCGCGGACAAGCTCTCCGCTCGCGCCATTCCCTGCGTCTTCCTTGGTTTTCCTACTGACGCGCCTGGCTGGCAGTTCTACCACCCCACCTCACGCCGTGTCTTTGCGTCTCAGGACGTCACCTTTGACGAGTCCGTCCCCTTTTACCGTCTCTTTCCCTACCGCACTACCCCTCGCCCCCTACCGCCGCTCGCTCTCGCTCTCGCTCTCGCCCTAAGCCCAGCACTGGAGGAGAACTAGGCCGCTCTCCTAAGTCGGTCAGCAGGTAGGTGAGCCAGCGTAACTCCTGTACAGCCATGGCCCGTGCGAAGATCTCAGCCTCACAACTGGAGTTGAGAACAGAAGACGAGCGGGTAGACCGCCAAGAAACAGAGCCAGAGCCAAGGCCGAAGGTGTAACCCTGTGACGACCGCTGCGTAGCCAGGTCGTCAACCTAAGAGGCGTCTGAGTGTCCAGTGAGGACAACTCGACCCCGTCCTCCAAGCACCAACCCCATGCCCGATGTACTGCACAAGTAGCGCAACGTCTTCTTAGCAGCCTCCCAGTGCTCTCGCCAGTGTCTCCCAGGCGCAACGTAGCGAGCCAGGATGCTAAGAGGTTACGCATGGTCAGGACGAGTGCAGGTCATCAGGTACATGAGGCAGCCCACAAGCTTTGGGCACGGGCCACTCGGCTCTACGGACTCATTCGAAGGTGGAGCTGAGAGCGAGTGACGTGTAGACAGAGGAGTGGACTGTGGTGAGGAGTACTGGAAGTCGAAGCGCTGAAGGACCTGCTGCACCATGTGTGACTGAGTCAGGGTAATGGTGCGGCGTGCTCTGTCCCGGGTGATCTGCAAGCCAAGGTAGCTGCGCAGCTCACCCAGGTCTGTGCACGTGTGTCTCTTCTGCAGCTCCGACTTCACAAGGGCCAGTGCCTCAGTGTCAGCAGTGGCAAAAAACAAGTCGTCGACGTACACGAGGATGTAGAACGGCGGCAGCGAGGTGTCGGTGCGTAGAAACAACGACGGGTCAGCAGTGGAAGGAGCAAACCCAAGAGCCGCAAGTGTCGTCCTCAGTGTGTCGTGCCACTCACGAGGCGCCTGGCGGAGACCGTAGACTGGCCGCCTGAGGCTCCACTGGGTACCAGGAGGGAACGACCCAGTGAAGCCAGGTGGGCGGCGCAGCCAGATCTCCTCGTGCAGGCTGCCCTGTAAGAACGCTGTGCCGAAGTCAAGAGAGTGAAGCTCGTAGTCACGCTGAGCGGCAACGTGCAGCAGCACCCGAAGAGTGGTCATCTTCGGGGTAGGGGAGAAGGTCTGAAAGAAGTCAACTCTCTGTCGCTGACTGAAGCCTCGTGCAACGTAACGCGCCTTGAAGACAGACGGAGAACCCGGCGGCCGCTTCACCCTGAAAATCCACATGCCATCGACAATGTTCGCCCCAGGAGGGGGAACTGCGTCGACGTAGGTGCCTGTGGACTTCTAGGATGCCATCTATGCGTCCATGGCTGTCTGCCACTGAGAGGAGTAGGGACCCGTGATTGCCTCTGCGTAAGAACGCGGGGTCGGAATGTTAAGTGCATTTAGGTCTCCCTCAGGCGCAAGCAGCCATGCCACTAGATGAGGTACAGCAGCCGCAAGACACTCAAAGTCCTCCTGCCTGTCCTCAAGGACGTCTGTGCCAAGAGCACACTCACCCCTAACAGACGGAGGACAGACAGACTCAGACTTAGCAACAAGACTGGCAGCGTAGTCTAGACGACACACAGCAGCAAAGTCCACAAGCTCAGCAACTAAGGTAGACGTAGCAGTAGACTTAAACGACGGGTCAGTGACAACAGTAGCTAGGAGACGGGTGACAGTAGGGCTGGCAGCACGAACACGGTCAGACTCAGGGTCCGGAACGACAGGAAGAGAGGACGTAGGAGGAGACGGCAGAGGGACGCGCTGTGGAAGAGAGGACGTAGGAGGAGACGGCAGAGGGACGCGCTGTGGAACAGAGGAAGGACGAAGTGCCATAGTGTGAGTACCTGGCAGAGGAGGAGGACACGAACGCGGGACACATCAAGCACGGCGAACAGGGGAGGCAGGACGAGACGCAGGCTCACGACGCTCTGTAAGGGAGACCGGCTGCTCAGTGTAACGAGATGGGGCAGGCCGCGGCGAGTCCGCGAGAAGGGCAGTGGACGAAGGAAGACTAAGAACCTGACGGAGCACCGACTCGGGCGGAAGCTCGGACAGCTGCGGCGGCGGCAAGAAAAACGGTTGCTGCTGCACAGGGCCTCCAGCTATAGTGCCTCCAGCGCCAGCACCTCCAGCTCCAGTAGCTCCAGCGCCAGTGTCTCCAGCGCCAGTACCTCCAGCACTAGCTCCTCCAGCTCCAGTGTCTCCAGCTCCAGCGCCTCCAGCTCCAACGCCTCCAGCTCTAGCACCTCCAGCTCCAGCGCCTCCAGCTCCAGCGCCTCCAGCTCCAGTGCCTCCAGCTCCAGCACTAGCTCCAGTAGCTCCAGCGCCAGTGTCTCCAGCGCCAGTACCTCCAGCTCCAGCGCCTCCAGCTCCAGCGTCTCCAGCTCCAGCGCCTCCAGCTCTAGCGCCTCCAGCTCCAGCGCCTCCAGCTCCAGCGCCTCCAGCTCTAGCGCCTCCAGCTCCAGCACCTCCTGCTCTAGTGTCGCCAGCTCTAGTGTCTCCAGCTCCAGCGCCACAACGAAGGCGGGTGCGCCGAGCAAGCCACTCGTAGCAGCTGGTGCAGTGAGAGGGGCTCACGCTGGGGAGACCGCTGCGGCGAGGCACCCGGAAGACCACCAGCAGACGAAGCACCACCAGGCTCAGCACCCCCAGAAGCAGCACCCCCAGGCTCAGCACCCCCAGCCTCAGCACGCTCAGGCGTAGTACCCCCAGGCTCCGCACGCTCAGGCTCAGCACCCCCAGTCTCCGCACCCACAGTCTCAACACCCCCAGACGCAGCACCCCGAGCAGGACCACCCCCAGCAGCACCTGAGTCACCAGTGACCTCGACAGGCTCAGCCAAGGGAAGTGGGTCTACCTGAGACACACCTGAAGGAGCAGGACCCTGAGGGGGGAGGGGGTCTACCGGAGGGGGACCTGGTGTGAGGATCTAGGATCGAGCTCAGAAAAGAGAATGTGAATTGAATGATCACCTGGGTACAACACGAGGCTATATATAGGCTCGACACAAGGGGCAGTAACCAGGTGTTACGCGAAGGTTCTGGGGGTCGCGAAGCGTCCCGAACAGACCCTTCCCGAATTCGGTAGAAGGCAATTCGGTGGCAACCGAATAGCCCAGAATTCGGTGTACGCAACCTAGCTCGGTGCTATAACTATAATAAAATATAGGAAAGCACCTAGCCTAGGAATCAAACAATTCATGCATGCAAAAGATAAACCTAAGCTAGAAGTAGCATAATAAAGTAAAGGCAAGCATGCATAGCTGGCATAAGCCGTCGTACTCTCACACGTCCCCCCCTCAAAGCTGGGTGGCGTGAGATACACCCTGCTTGACAAGATAGTCCTTGAGAGCACGGCGTGCATTGCCCATATCAGCTTCTGCAACCCAACTGTCCTCAGTGGGGTCGTATCCCTTCCAGCGTATCAGGAACTCGAGGGTCTTGCCGCCGCGGCGCCGATGAGTGAGAACGCGCTCGATCTCGTACTCTGGTTCATCCTGCACGAGGACAGGTGGAGGTGGCGGTAGCTGCCGTCCCTGGAACTGGTGGTTGGGGTCCTTGTAGGGTTTCAGTAGCTGAACATGGAAAGCGTTGTGAAGCTTCCATGTATCTGGTAAGCGCAAGCGGAATGTAACTGGTGTCACCTATGCCTCCACGAGAAAAGGACCGCAGAAGCGAGGCCGGAGTTTGGATGGTAGGTGAGACAGGTTCAAGTTGCGCGTGTCAAGAAGCACCTGATCTCCGACTACTACTGAGTGATCTCGTCGCTGGCGATCGGCATACTGCTTCTAGGAGTTCTGCATCGTGGTGAGACGTCGCTGAGTCCTCTCCCATAGCTGCTGCATGGTGGTGACGAAGTCGTGTGCGGCTTGGACGTGTGCCGGTGTGGTTGGCTGCTGTGGTGTGAGTGGTTCCCGTCCGTAACACAGGAAGAAAGGGGTTTTTCCTGTGGCCGCATGCGAGGCGTTGTTGTAAGCGAACTCTAGGGTCGGTAACTGTGTGTCCCAGTGGCTGATGTCGTCTTTGCAAGCTGTACGCAGTAACTGTTCAACCACCTGATTGAGTCGCTCCGTCTGTCCGTCAGTCTGGGGATGGTATGCTGAAGACATCGCAAGCTTAGTCCCCAACAGTCCCATAAGCTCCTTCCAGAACTTACTCGTGAATTTGGGGTCTCTGTCTGAGATGAGTGTAGCGGGGATGCCGTGGATGGTGATGATGCGGTCGAAGAAGAGGCGAGCAGTTGCTTCAGCAGTGGCTGTGGCGTTGGTCGGAATGAAGTGACCCATTTTGGAGAACTTATCGATCACTACGAGGATGGAATCGTGCCCTCGTGAGGTCGAAGGAAGTCCTGTGATGAAGTCGAGGCTAACGACCTGCCATGGCTGCTCCGGCACGGGTAGAGGCTGAAGTAACCCCGCTTTTTTCTGCTTGCTACTCTTCATCCGCTGGCACGTGTCGCAAGAGGTGACGAACTGCTGCACGTCTGCTGCCATCCCGGGCCAGTAGTAATACTTTGCTATTCCCGCTAACGTCTTGTTGCTCCCGAAATGTCCCGCGTATGGTACGTCATGAAACTCCTCTAGAAGGATCTGCCATAGCAGGGCGTAGTTCGGTACCCAAATCTTTCCTGAACCCTTCCTTACCGCTAAGTCTTTCTCCCACTGTAACAGCTTCTGTTTCTCTGCCGTTGCTATCTCTGCGTCCACGGAGTACCCATGTTGGAATAGACCCTTGAGAAGAGGGTTCAACCCGTCGAGCTGGATGCCTGCTTCATGACCTGGGCGGCTCAATGCATCTGCTTTGTTGTGGAGCCCTGGTTTGTAGACGATGTCGTAGTGGAAGTGGGTCTCCAAGAAATCCACCCACCGCACCTGTCGTCGTGAGAGCGTCGGCTGCGACTTCAGGTATTTGAGGCTGCAGTGGTCAGTATAAACTGTGGTCTTGGCTCCCTCTAGGTAACACCTCCACGCCTTGAAGGCTATGACTATGGCTAAGGCTTCCTTGTCGTGGATGGGGTAGTTCAGTTCTGCTCCGTGTAACTTCTTACTGAGGTAGGCTATAGGTTGTAAACCGTGTCCGTGGTCCTGCATCAGTACTGCTCCGACTGCTTGGTCACTAGCGTCTGCTTCAACTACGTAGTCCTTGTCTGGATCCGGTAGGATGAGTACTGGCGCTGTGGTCAGTGCTGTCTGTAGCTGTTCCATGGCTTGCTGATGAGGAGTATCCCATTTGAAGGGCGTATCCTTTTTCAGTAGGTCTGTCAGTGGCGCTGCTATCTTAGCGTATTGCGGTACAAATTTGTTGTAGTAGTTGGCGAAGCCGAGGAACTGCTGTAACTCCTTCACGTTCTCCGGGACTTTCCACTTTTTAACGGCTTCGATTTTCCGCGGGTCCACGTGTACGCCCTCGGCACTCACCATGTGCCCGAGAAACTGCACCTTCTTAAGTGCGAAGTCGCTCTTCGATAGCTTCACGTAGAACTTGTTTTTCCGCAGGATCTCGAACACCTTCCGTAGATGCTCCACGTGCTCCTTCATGTTCTTGGAGTAGATGAGGATATCGTCCAGGTACACTACTACGCACTCGTCCAGCAGGGGCCGTAGGATGTGGTTCATCTCCGCTTGGAACGTCGCTGGTGCGTTGCATAGTCCGAACGGCATCACTTAGTACTCGTAGGAGCCGTATCTTGTACGGAACACCGTCTTGTGGATCAAGTTGTCCGCCATCTTGATCTGGCAGAAATCTGACCGTAGGTCCAGCTTCGAGAAGACCGTTGCACCACGCAGTTGATCTAGTAGGTCGTCTATGCGCGGTAGTCGATGCACATCCGTAAACTGCCGTCTGGTTTTGGGGTGAAGAGAACTGGTGCGCCGTAGGGAGAGGTGGATGGGCGGATCAGTTGTCTGTTTATATCCTTGTACTGCTCCAAGACCTCCTTCACTGCTGCAGGAAGCTCCGAACTCGGCTTCTCCTCCTCTGCTGCTGCCATGACCAGTGCTAGGTAACCCGTGTTACTCCCGGTCACCGTTCGTTCGAACCGTGCCAGCGTCGTTTCAGGTACATCCCCTGTATCCGTCCAGCTTCGTAGCTCTATCCGCTTCCCGTTGTTGTAGATGCACACTTTACTGTTGACCCAATCGATCTCGGGGTTGAACCGCTTCAGGAAATCTCGCCCCAAGATGAAATCTAACCCTTTGATGTTGGTGACTGGTAGCTTCGGCTTCCACCTCAACGCACCTATATGCAGCTGCAGGGATGCTTCGCCGTGGATGGGAAGCTTCGTACCGTCCACCATCGTTGCTGAGAATTGGGTCTCCACCGCCTTCTCTCCAATTTTCTCCAATGTTCCGCGGTCACACACCGAGTGAGATGCACCGCTGTCCACCAGTGCCTGGAGGCGTCATCTGTTACAGAACACCTCGAGGAGTAGTGGTTTCTGCTGCGCTGAGTAGCCAAAGAGGGTCTCATTAATAGGATCATAGGGTACATCAAAATGAATACCTTCCCTATTTCCTATACCTGACTCAGCACTTTTCTTTTCCAACTTCACCTGGGGGGTAGGAGGATTTTTCTGAGGCTTGTAAAATTTCTCCTGAACCCGGATTTGTCCTCTAAGCCTTTGTAGCTGTGTAGGCTGCCTTAACACCATGCTGCGGGGAGAGAATATTAACTCCACGGAACACACGACCCTTTGCTATGCTCCGTAGTACTTTGTCCAACTTCTCAGGTATCTGAATAAATTTTAAAGGCAATTTCTTGGCCTCTAAATCTCCCCTGAATTTTTCAAAGGCTTGAAAACCACGAGAAGCAATATTTTTTGTTAGAGTATCTTTATAGGATACTTTTAACGAATTCTTACTTTCGTGGGTGTTCGGCTGGAGTTTCCCGGTCGGTGCAGAGTCTTTTTTTCGCGGAGTCTCCATTCGTCTCGGCAATTTCCCCTGATGCCGGCCGGTCGTGACGTTTTATATTCGCGCCATCATTTTCTCCTTTTTTCACCCGCTCCGAAGTCGCCACGTCGTCGCCCTTTTTCGCTTTTCGGATCTTTACGCGATCGCCAGGTCGATCCGCGGCTACTGGCGATTCCCGTTTTTTGACTTCAGGGGTGCTCCACTGTTGCTGCCCAGCATTATCGTGCGTACTTTCTTCATTTTGTAGCACGACAAAATTTGATGCCCCGCTGCGCCGCAAAATTCGCATTTTGTCGGTTGCTGCTTCGCGTCAAATTTGTCGATATCCATCGGTTTGACAAACGTGGGGGGTGCCGATCGCTCCGTGCCGAATGTACGGTTCGGTCCGAATTTCGGGTTGTCCTCGAGTCAAAGCGTCGTATCGCACGACATCACGCACGATGTCGCGGTAACTGTTGTAATTCGCTGCAATCACCTGTCGGCGAATCTCCAATTTTAACCCTTCTGTGTACGCCTGGATTTTTTCGCCTTCGGTCAGGTCAGTAATGCGGTTGAACAGTAGCTCCATCTGCTGCGTGTACTGTGCTACACTACTGTACTGTTTGTGTCGGTGTATCTGCTGCCGCGCCATATAGGTTGTATTAATTGGCTCGAAACGTTCGATGAGATCTGCCCGAAACTGCGCCCACGATTTCTCCCCGCGGGCCACGTCAATATAGTAGATCCACTCGAGTGCTGGTCCCCGCAACAGTGTCGCTGCGAGCCGAATTCGTGGTGCGTGGTGTGTCGGGGTCGAACAACCAACGGCCTCGAAATAAATTTCGAGGGTCGCCACAAATCGTCGAACGTCCGACTCTTCTTGCGCTTGGATCGAATGCTCCAGGGAGCCTCGGGCGAGCTGCTTCGAGGTTCGGCGACGGTGGTGCCATCGGTCCGTGAAATGTCGGTGCCGCCACTACTGGTGCTGCCGTCGCTGCTACGTTCGCTGCTGCATTGACTGTTGCGGTGGCGGCTCCTGGTTGGTATGTCAGAAGGGCCTCGAGTCGCCGAATCGTCACCTGCGTCTGTTCCATGTCAGTGCTGAGGCTTGCGATGTCGCTCGTTGTCGCGTAGTTGTTGCCTTGGCCCTCCATGCCGGACATTGCGCGTTCGAAAAAACCGAAACGAGGAGGATCGAAAAACACGGAACCGGTTTTACGTACCCGAAATCGGTGTTTAACTGCGTCGCCCCCGCGGTTTTTGAAGACTCGGTTTTTTGTGGTCGAAAAACTGTCGCGTGTAAACGGGCTCTGATTACCAAGTGTGAGGATCTAGGATCGAGCTCAGAAAAGAGAATGTGAATTGAATGATCACCTGGGTACAACACGAGGCTATATATAGGCTCGACACAAGGGGCAGTAACCAGGTGTTACGCGAAGGTTCTGGGGGTCGCGAAGCGTCCCGAACAGACCCTTCCCGAA